AGGAGAGCCCGGGCTCTGTGTGGCCAGCAGGAGCACCCAGCAGCTCCAGGGCCAGGTGCCCAGGGCAGCCATGGGTAATTCCTGGTCCTCCTTGCACGGACTTGCGCGCTGCCCAAAAATCGCTCTCCCTTGGAGGTATCTGTCCCTTGCAGGTGAACTGTCTCCATAGCTGAAGGAATCACCTCTCCATCCTAACTACCCGCCTAGTGAGAGAGCATAGGGGAGTCTGTAACCTCACTTCTTTTTTTTTCTTTTTTTTTAAGTATTTGTAGTGAAATCCTGGCCATGCTGAAGTCGATTGGAGCTCTGCCACCAACTCCATCACAGCTATGCTTTTAGCAGACTTTTAGCTCAGCCAGACATTTTTTTTTTTTTATTGTGCTCTGCCAGATCCACTTGGACATTCTTCAGTTCTTCCCTCAATTCTTAGGGACTTGGAACAGGCAATTCTGTTTTTAAATCCCCATCTGCCCTTTTGTGAGGAAGCCAGGTCACCCAGAAGAGGGGTTTGCAGAAGGCCCTGGAATGACGTTTTGTGTGTGTACAACCCACGCTATTGGAAATAAGCATATTTTTTCCATCCAGCCTTTAAAGAGCTCTCCACACCTGACATTTCCCAGGCCACATCCCAGTCTTTTGCAAGGCTCCCACTCCCCTGAGGTGTAAGTTGTGATCCTCTTCCTTGTCTTGTTCCCTCCTGTCAGGATCCTGAACTCCAGCACCTCATGGCTACTGCAGCCAAGGGTGTCAAGGTCTTCACATCCCTAACAAGTTTCTCGGTGTTCTGGGGTATGAGGTCCATCGGAACACTTCCCCTTCTTGGCTTCTAGGTCACCAGTGTCAGGAAATTACATCAATACACTCAAGAAATATCTGTGATAGCCTGTGCCATGTCGTGTTGCCCTTGCAGGAGATACCAGGATGGTTAAAATCCCCATGGTGATCAGGGCTTGCAGAATTATTACTGATATTTTACAGCCCTGTGGTACAAAGGAGCTCTTCTGTCGCCTTCCACATGTCTGTTCTAAGGCTCTGAAATAGGGAGACTCTCCATATATCTGCTCACTTTCACACTCTGCCTTTTTTTCCACCGCTTGTTTCTGTTCCCTTGGTTGTAAACTCTTCCGCTCCGTTCTATTTTTGCCTTCTACCATGCAATGTGCATCTCTTGCCTTACCTTACCTTAAACCTCTTTTCTTCTTAGCAAAGCCTGTTGATTGTGCTTTTGTGTTCAAGCTAACACCCAACCTTGCTACCCAGCCTTGCTACCCTCTTGTCCATATCCCTCTTTGCCCTTTTTATTTCCAACAAGCCTTTATTTTTCCTTTTTAAAGATGTCACAGCTGATAGTTTGCAGCATAGCTCTGATCCTTGTGCTCATCCTACTGTGTTTCTTCCCCCAAAACTCCCTTAAGCCACCCCTAGTCTAGAGTTACCTGGGAGCCTTTCATGCTGATGTACCTCAGAACAGGACCTAACCCGCTGCGCATTGTGATGTCCTGCTGTTCCAGCATCAGTAGTCTGCTCCCATGCTGCTAGTCCAGCCTGGAATAACACTCCTGATGTAGATGCATCTATTTTGGATTTATGTGGAAAGGAGCTTTAGTGTTCTCACTTAAATGACATTAATGAAAAAGCTGTCATAAATCATTATCTCAGGACATGACTGCACAGTTACTCATCTCTGGCTTCTCCATCCTCTGGCACAGGTAACTTGTTCCACTGAATGAGGTTTGTTTTTCCAAGATAAGGGATGTTTGGCACAGAAAGACTTCTGAGTGTCTCATAGCCTTGTCCTATGGCCGTTGTGTAGGTGAATAGGATGCTGTTGACATCAGTGACAGTAGTTGTACCCAAAAGGCTGCACACACCAGACCAAAGTATTTACAACATTTCTGTTACTCTGCTTGAAACTTTTAGTGGATAATTAAACAGCTGTGCAAGTGACTTGCACAGACCGGGTCCTTCCTCAGTTGAAAGTAATGGACCTTCCATCAGCACTGGTTTCAGCCCACTATGTTTTATGGAAATAAACTTGATCACATCCAGCAATGTGATCGAATTAACAAGCCGCAAACCAGTATGCTCCAAGTCTGACTTTCGCTTTCACCCACAATAATATTTTTTTCTTTTTTCCTGATGGTTTTGAACAGTCTTTTTTTTCTCTCTCTGGAGCCATTAAGGAAGGAAACAAAAAGTGAGCATTCAGGGCAGACAGTTTGGTACATTTAGGACATAGAAAGATCACCCCTCAGTGTTGCTCAACTCATATTGTTTTAGATGCATGCACTTATAATTTATGTCAGCCTAAGTCGTATTCTTAGACTATATTGAAGGTCACTCAGAGAAGTAACACTAGGAGAACAGATGAAAGTAGCAGGAGAAACAAGATGACCTAAACATGTGGTGGCTCAGAATCGTAGCAGAACTTAGGTTGGAAGGAATCTCTGGGTTCTCTAGTCCTGCCATCTGCTGAAAGCAAAGCTTTGGTGCTTGATGAGGTCATTCAGGGTCTTGTCCGGTTATGATGGATGATGGAGATAATAATGGAGATCCGTCAACCTTGCTGGGTCCCTGTTTCAGAGTCTTACCATCCCCACTGTTATTTCTTTTTCTCTTTTTGCTTATTTTCTTTATTTTTTCCTTTATAGTCCAGCGGAATTCCCCTGTTGCAACTTGTTACAATTGTCTTTTATTCTTTTGTTGTGCACCTCCAAGAACAGACCGTCTCTGCTTTCTCTGCAGCTCCACATTATTTAGTGGGAGAATACAAGTAGATCCTCTTTCAGCCTCCTCTTCTTCAGGCCCAAAAAACTCAGCTCCTGGAACAGTTAGTCACTATTCCACCAGTACCTCCAAATGCAGATACTCTTTTATTTTATTTTTTATTATTATTTTTTTAACTTCTTGCACTGTCCGTATGCACTTTATCCTACACAGACCCTTCCCTGGGGGTCTTCCCTTCCCTTCTACACAGACCAATCCCTGGCTTGACCTTTCCTGTCCAGCTAGCTCTACTATATTAAGCTAAGTGGTAAATGGTGTTTTAGTGTTATGCACACAGCCATCTCCCTCTGTACTTTGAGTAATTGCACTCTTGACACCAGGATTGTCTTCTACAAGTGTTCAGAATGAGCCCAAGCCACCGAGGGCTAGTAAATAATAATCCTAATACAATCGCTGTGATTGAAAAATGACTCTTAGCATTTCTGTGCTGCAGATATCATTAAATGGTCATCAGATGCTTAATATATCTTGAAGCTGTGTACTAAGAGCTCAGTTCTGCCAACCTGCTGTCTTTAGAAAATGTGTTGTCTCCAATGGGATGTACTGGACACTGGTGCCAAATAGATAGACCTGGTTTAACTCCAATATTCTTTGCAGTCGGCAAGATCTGTAACACAGTGGGGAGGTATTTGCCTAGAAAAGTCCTCCAGATTGCTGGTGCTGAGTGAATCCTCTCTTCAGGAAGGAACTGCACAGTTAGGCAGGGACCTCAGCCCCTGACCTCCATTTCTTGTCCTGCCACTCACTTTCTGTAGAACCCTGGACAAGGGGAGAAAAACTCAAATGTCCTGAAATATGATGAGTTTGTGGTATCTCAGGTGTGATGGTGAACACTTATATTTACATATCAAGCAATGGGAGTTCATTATTTTTTTGGAGAATGACAAATATTAGATCCACTCCTTCATTGAAGAATAATAGGAGCAAATAGGAGGAATCCCTAACATTGAGTATGTCTCTTCTTACTGCCACCTTCACCTCACTCCGAACATACCTTAGCACAAGAAAAAATTGTGCTCTCCTGTCTCTGAATGTGACAACCTCTTACCCCATCTGTTAGTATGTGTGCACTTATACACATCATATAACTGGTTAGAGCCTCTATGGCTGCTCTCTCTACAAATAATAAATGATCTGATAATGTTCATAGCATTTTTATTCTGTACAGGGCAGTTGAGAACTAATGTAATTCTCTACTGGAGCCTCTGAGATCTTCCAAGAGTTTCTTTTGTAGAGCACATTAGTGTTGCAATTCATTATGCACAAGGACAGCAGTCTGTACAGGAAATGATTTGGAAAATGGAAGGCACTCCAGCCCCAAACTATTTCTTACACAAAAGACCAAAAATATGGTATTTAAAGAATGCTAGTAGATATGGGCAACATCAGAATCTTTCTCATCAATATGTAATGAAGGAATTTCTCCTACTAACATCTTTCTTAGTACCTGAGGTGACATTAGGTATATTCCCTCTGCCAAGAGAAAGTAACCTTTCAAAGTGTATCATCTTTAAAATGCCTCTGTTCCTTATAATCCACACAGCTCACTCTCTTCCCTCTGTTCCTATGGCTTAAGAGATAGCTTGTGGCTGCACTAAAAAACTCAGTGTGTTTCATGCTATAATTGCTCCACTGTGTTCACGATATTCGCAGAGGAAAAAATCTTTGAGGCTCCACTAATCCAAGGGGAAAACACTGGCTGCAATTGAATACTGTGACATTTCTTTTTCTTGGGGAATGGTAGTGAGGCCTCGGTGCCATTAAAGAAGTCCCTAATGGACAAAAAGCTAAAGATAGGCTAATGGCTGTGATAGCATTAAGCCATGAAAATTGTTTTAGTCCCCTTCTTAGGGACTGCTGGTTCTCCTTTGAGAAACCCACTCCCATCACTACTGGTTTTTGAACTCCTTGCAGAAATAGTAGGGTTTTAAAGGTGTGGGGGCCGGACTACCCTTCTCACTGGATTCAGTGTTACCCAACCAACGTGGTTTGGGCAGTATAGGGTAGTGAAACCTTCCCAAGCCCTGTGCAGCAGACATGCACGTACACAGAAACTGAAAGCTTTTAAGCCATAGTTTGTTGTTGTTGTTATTGCATTTTTATGTTTATGGTACTGATGGATTTTTAAAGTGACTGTAGAAGTGAAAATGTGGAATGTCATGCTGGCTACTTTGTGTAAATGTGCCTTTTCCCCTATCCCTCTCTCTCCCCAGGGCTCTGGCTGACATCTTAAGGCAGCAGGGACCAATCCCAATAGCACACTGTGAAAGAGAGACTATCTCGGCCATAGATACCTCCCCCAAAGAAAACACCCCAGTCAGGACATCTTCCAAAAACCATTACACCCCTGTGCGCACCTCCAAAAGCAACCCAGGTAAGTGCCACCTTCCTGCTCTCTTTCTTCATCGGCTGTTGCTTGCTAGAAGTCAGCAGAATATCACACTTTACCATAGCGGGTTTTGAGACCTCGAATTAGGATAATATATGGCTTTAAAAGGCAACCAAATTGAGCAGGGTAATGCAAGTATCTGTGGTGATGATTCTTTAAAGGTTTTTGCTGGACAGAGTGGCTGTTCTCTCTAGGCATTTTAAAAATTCAGAGTCAATGAGGTATAAATTCAGCTTGTACCAAAATGCTTGTAGCAAGCTCAGAACATTGTGTATTTCCAACCAAGCACACATGCCATAAAGCAAAACTGGGCTCTCTGCACACAGCAGCTGAGAAGGAAGAAATTCTCATAATTGAGGCTACCTTATTAATTCAGGTAAATTATAGAAAGGTGCCAAGAGGAAAGTATGGGGGATGGCCTGGGTGGTATCCTAAGAGCTCCAGGACACTTGACCAGGATCCTTTGGGGGGTATTCATCTGGGAACTGGACACCCACATTTTCTTCAGGTTCAGCTGCTGAGTGAGCTTGGTCAGATCATTTGACTGCTCCTTGCCTTGATTTCCCCAGTTGCCTAAGGAGGCCAGCCTCTTCGATAAAGATATTATTCTGATTTCTTCGCTGTTTCATACGTAGATAATTATCAAAACAATATCTTGACGGTTGCTGACCATCTTCGTTAAGTGGGATGTGTTGGATTTTCCATGGTTTGCTGTCTTTCAGTCACAACTGGATGCGTGTCTCAAAGATGTGCCCTCATTCAGTCACAAGCTATTCCGCTTCCTGCAGAAGCTTCTGGGTGGCTTCCCTGGCCTTTGTCACCCGGAGGTCAGAGCAGACTTTGCTAATGGCCCATTCTAGGGAACTAATGGAAGCTCCGGCTGCTCCACAACCCGCGGGACTGGATGTGCTCTGTTCTTCGTGGAAAGGGCCCATGACTGAGGGCAGTGACAGTTTGATTTTCTTTGTCTAGTTGAGGTGACTATTGGACGGGGTTTGCTGCTGTGCGTATAACCCGGTGGAGACAGGATCAGGTGACCACAATGTTCTTTTGCTTCTGGGAACAGAAGAAAATTCCCTGAGAAGTTGAAGGGATTTTTTTTTTCCTGTTCCATTTTTCATCATTGAGAGGAGAGTGAGCCCTTGATTTTTATATGTCAGAGAATTATACCTGGGCATATTCTGGTCTGGAAAATGGTATGTGAGTTGAGTTAGCTAGAAGAGGAAGGTCTTTTTCCATCTCTAGGGCTTGGAGCTGGCCCTTGAGGGATTCTCTGCCTCATGATAGCAACACAAGAAATAAGGGTTACAGTCAGTGGATAGGAATAGGCATATCAGAAGCCTTAGGAGGAGAGAAACCTTTTTCTGAGGATGCCCTGTGTCGCCCTCTTGGCTCCAACCAGGCCTAAGTGAGGGCAGGAAAAGTCCAAATGAAGATGCAGGAGAAATTTCTTGCTGGCAACAGCCAAAGAGACCAGCTGGGCATAGGAAGCCAGAATTAATTGTCATATTTAGGCACTGTCAAGGATGGAAAACAACAAGTGGGAAGGTTTGCGAGGGAAATTGATGATTTCAGTGTTATCTTCTGGTGCCTGTCAGTAGCTGATGGATGCTTACATGACTCACTAGTAAATCAGTGGAGGCACCACAGGAGGCAAGGGAATGAGCACAGGTATGAGTGGGGTGGTAGTGCAAATGGCTGCATAACAAAGCAATAACATCCTGGAAGGAATCTACTTGGTCCTCATGGAAGACTGGGATAGGAGATAGCCAAGGCAAAGAAATGGCTAGGAAGAAAAAGGCATAATGTTAAAGGTGGCCATCAATTCAGCTTCTACTTGTGTTTATGTGTTTGCTTGTCCATACCGCAGGAAAGAGAAAAGTGACTATTGCTCAGTGGGCAGGATAGAGCAAGGGCAGCAGGAATATCAAAGGGAAAATATTCACAAACCCAGATAGAGGAGAGCGGATTTAACTTCCAGTACAGCCTTCCAGCCTTCCACATGCCGTGGGTGGTTGCAGAGGTTATTGATCACTTCTGCTTTGGGGAAGCCAGTTGGACATCACGTAGGAGCCCTTGCCAAAGCTCGGAAGAGAAGACTTGTAACTTGCCCAAAAGAACTTGTTCCTGGCTCAGTTGTGACTGTTATTAACATGTCCTTATATATCATATAAGACAGAAAGCTAATCATTTACCAGATTTTATGATCCACTAAAAAGCTACGCAGATAATGCTTTTTATATGATTTGATGTGCAGAGTGTTGCAATGATCCATCATAACTGAATCAGTTACTCAGCTAGTCTTCAGGTTATCGTAGTGCACGGGATACTATGAGTAAACATCAAAAACTTTTAGGCTAGGAGGAAAGTGCAAGTTGGAGAACAAGACAAGGTTAAACAATGTAAAACTGGCATAAATTTGGAAAGTAACAGAAAGAATGAAGACTTAACCATCTGCAGCTTTACTTTGGGAAAAAAAAAGTGGAATGAGGAAAAGCTGGGGGAAAAAAAAATGAGCCAGTAGTAGAAGGATCCAGGCAAAACACTGCTTACTAGTGCTGCAAATTGGCTTGGAAAGATCCACACATGCAGAGTTTTGCAGTGGAAGTGAAGCATCAGCTCTGCTGGCTGCAGTTTGCTTTAGGACTTCAGAACATTAAAGGTTAAGCAACCAGACAGGACTGTAGCTGTTACGAATAGACTAAGATTAAGTTTTATATTTGTTTTACTTGGAACTTCTGTTTCCAAACTTATAACTAGAAGGGAGACCTTAAGTCTTGTTAAATAAACCGTGGCTTCATTTTTCCATTAAGTTTGCTTGTGTCAGCGAGCAGAATGATTGTGGGTGACAGTGACAAATGGAGGTGGCCTGTGTGTGAGGCAGCAGGGTCCAAATGAAGCAGCATGCACAGGTGGGCCCTGCAGCCAACAGCTCACGGGGTGGTGGCTGGTGATTCCTCATGCAGGTGTGGGAGGGAGTCCACTTCTCACACACAAACCACTTCTTGCAAGCACACAGACCACCTTCAAATAGCCGTAGAAAGAGATCACAGCATGGAAACATAAAACTACCTATTGTGTTTTGCACCAAACCAAAGTAGGCACTGCCTCCAGCAGGTGCCTGAAAGGGGTTTTCAGGTAGACACTCAGGAAGAGGCCTCAGTGTGTTCTCCTGGGGACATCACAGCAGATGGTTTTAGAGCGCTCAAAAGCTAAAGCTCTGCAGCTGAACATAAGGACCTGTCATTAGGTTTAGGCTATACTTCTTTGTTGAGCCTGTGTTGAACTCTGTTTGAGACAGAAGAACCCAGGACTAACTAGTTCTTATGAAAAGGGAAGTAGGTGTTTCGGATCTAGGCATAGGAACAATTGTCATTCTCTAAATAGAGTGGCAGGTTTTTAAGAAGGCTTCAGCCTGCTGTGTTACAACTGCCACGTTCCCCAAGTGGTGTGGGGAATTTGTCAGAAGCAGAATGTACTTCCAACACTGAATTCTCCAGGTTCTAGAGGTCCCATGTGTTTCAAGGTCATTCCTCCAGAGATTATCACCACTTCTGCTTTCCTCTGAGCATCAAGTTCATGGCCTTTGGGGATGGTTGAACTGTTCACCTTGCCCCTCACCACGTCAATGCTGTTCATTGCTTTTACACAGTGCTGCTGGCTTGGTGGTGGTTAGGTTCTTCGCAGATGCGAAGAGCTGAAAGCTGTGTCTCCAGATTGCTTGAGTCAAAGCATACCTCTCCAGTTGTGCACCATGTAATTAGGATGAGCAACAGCACTCTTTGTAGACAGGAAAGTTCCTCCAGCCCATGCAGACCTTCAGTTATTTCACTGTTTGCTATTGTGAGTAACAGGTGAAATATAATGAATGTGAGATTGTAGGAAATCTATCTCATCTAGCTATCTATTGGCATTTTTAATGTCTCCATGCCAGCAGAACCTTTAGGCATGTTAGAAAGAAGACCTGCAAGATTTCTTAATCTTCAAATTGCCTCATTAATAGAATACACTGATTTTGTTCTGAAACAAGCCCTAGACAAGCAGGTGAAGAATTTACCTCTGTGATCAACTGGTTTAATTTTCCATTGTTGAAAACTTCTTGCTATGCACCTATATTAAGGGTAGAACTACCTGCAGGTGTGAAATGTGTAGGGCAGAAGTACCTGCAGGTGTGAAGGGCCAACAGGTGGGTTGATAGGATTGCCACTTTGAATGCAGTGAACCACGAGGCTACAGCTCTGATTAGCTTGATAGAACTGAGGAAGGTTTTTAATAAGCATTTAAAGGGGGGCTGTTCTAGAGATAAATTCAAAGTGTTGGTTTCAGCAGTGCCTTTTACCTAGGGGCATATTCTGAGCTTGTTCTGAATGTGGAAAAAAATGTGGGAGAGACCTTTAATCTCTATGGAAATTGTAGCTAACAAGTGTAGACAAGTATAGGCAGAGCAGCATGGAGAGCCCTTCCATCCCCATCATCATAGGGAGGAGGAGATGGTTGCGGTTTGGCCCTGCTCTCACTGGTATGCAGTCAGTGTGCAGACTAATCCTTTTGTAAAGACCAAGGTAAGCCAAGGCAGATCTCCTCTGCAATATATATATCTTCTCACTCTCTATATTTCTCCCTTTCACCCTTCCTTTCACATTTCTCCTAAATCTCAAGCTAGTCTCCACTTTGAATTTCTTCCTTTATCCTCTCAGTGAATTCTCTAGCTTCTCCCCTCAAATCCCCAGTAAGTATTTGAATTAATTTACCAAAGATCAGTGTAGGAATGAATGCTGAAAGTGTTTGGATTCCCTGCCGCTTCACAGTTTGTGTTTTCATTTACAGCTGTTCAGGGGAATACAAAGCAGGTGTAAAAAGATCCCCCAGTCCCTGCTGTAATGTTTTACAGACCCTCTGCTCCACTGTAAGAAACTAGTTAAGGTGCAGGAGTGTGAAGAACCAGGCACATGGCTTGGAAAACATCCAGAGAATTCTGGGGTGAA